AAAACAACAGTATAAGTAAAAATAAACAATAATTCTGTCCCCACTGGATGCAACAAATGCCTCGTTTGTAATGGGTTTTAATGTTTTTGTGCTCCGGCTGGGACACGCCATCACAGTATGTGAGGGGCGTAACATTTCCGTCTCACGCTTGAGGCTAAAATGCTGGCAGTTCTGACTCACGTAAGTACGTTTTCATTTAAAGGATTTGCCACTGATGATTCAAACGCGAGTTTTGGGCAGTGTGGATTAACGTTAGCACTTGTTGTTTGTCATTTCTCTGATCACAAATGTAGACATGGTTTTATGTTTACGCGGCGCGATGCAATGCAATGCGTAAAGACAGTATAAGTCATTATAATCCGTAATTATGTCCCCACTGGATGCAACAAATGCCTCGTTTGTAATGGGTTTTCATGTTTTTGTGTCGTTGCTCCGGCCGGGACACGGCATCAACACAGTATGGTGAGGGGCGTAACATTTCCGTCTCACGCTTGAGGTATTCGGCCAATCACAACGCACTGGATAGCTGGCCAATCAGAGCACACCTCGCTTTTTCAGACCGATGAGCTTTGTAAAAATCGACGCGTTTCAGAAGGCGGGGCATAGAGGAGAAACAATAATGTACAGTATGTGGAAAATAATGTGTTTTTTTTACTTTAAACCGCATAAACACGTTTCATTACACCAAATACCCAAAATAATGTTCTTTTTAGCAGCATCATATGACCCCTTTAATATTTAAAAGTAACAAAAATGTGTATGGTTGTAGTAAACTATTCTATATTTTGTTTTTGCTTTTCCATGGCCATTTTCCCTATTTTTACATTTAGATTACTTGTGCTGTTATTTAACGCTAATTTAAATGTAATCTTTCAAATCACTAATAACTTAATGACACTGTAACATACTTTTTAGCAAATCTATTTTTCATACTCCATATTATAATGTTATGATGCCTAAATTCACTTGTAGCGTTTGAAATGACTGATTTAATTTTTAGTGTTTTAATTTTATTGGTCATAACATAAAAGCAATGAACGGCCTAACACTTTCGACACGAATTTTAATATTACGCATCCCTAATAATGCTCAAGAAACTTTTCTTATTATTATCAATGTTGAAAGCAGTTGTGCTGCTTAATATTTTTTTTTTCAGTATTTCCTGATGAATACTATTCCAGGAAGTTCAAAAGAAATACAGAGTTCTGGCATGAAACTCTAGATGACGCAGTCTGATAGGTTTAACTCAATCTGACCTATTGACATCATCACATGGCACAGCTGATTGGTTCTCTCCTGTATCGGTAGCCAATGAGCTCGCTGCTCAACATTAAAATATATGACTAGTGCTTGCAGTAGCAGTTTGCAGCATGCTTCAGAAACCCTTCACCTTAACAAAATAGAAAGAGCTAAGAAGAAAAAGGAGAAAAGCCTTACACAAAAGACATGTTAAATGATCATCTTGTTGCTAGGTCAACTGATTTCCAGGCTGTAACAGACTATTATTCTTAGCGGATGCTTTAAGCCTTAGGTTTTATTTTGTGATAATGGCTGTCACGTAAATGCTGAATGAATGTTCACCTGAATACGGAGCCACATCTGTTTGTTGGCCATCTCCATCCTCCTGAAGTTGTTCTCCACATCTCTGGTTCTCTGGATGTCCTTCTGCATGCGTTTAATATACTCCACAGAGGCCCTTAGAATAGTGCCTTTATTCCAGCGCACATCCCTGAACACAAGATGTTCCAGATGGTGAAGTGTTTATCAATGAATGTCTCTAAACAGAACTGTCCTGCAAAATTCACATCTGGCCAGAATTAAATGAAATCATTTATTTGCTCAAATGAACAAAAACTTACAGGTCATTGGCTTTGGGGATCATGGTGCCCAGCTCCTTAATTCGATCATTGATGTTAAACCTTCTCCTCTTTTCAACTAAAGAATAAAAAAAGAGGTTGTTAGTATGGTTATACTAACGATTAGTAGTATTAGGAGACTTTCAATTCTGCAGCATGATTGCTTCCTATTTGTCTGACCTTGACCATTATGTTTTTTTTAATTTGTTTTCTGACTCAATCTTTCAATAATGATGGGAAATGAGGTAGCCCGTACTGTCTCTGCGTGTAAATTGTTTATGATGCTCAAGATATGGCACTATATACCATCTTAACCCAAAGTATTTGGGAACAGGCCAAGCTTAGCAAAGCTTTGCAGAATTACTGTCTTATTGTACAACTCCAATACTTGTGAAATGTCACAGGCAATTACATTTTAATGTCACGGCAGCAGGATCTGTCCGAGTTAACGATAGACCAAAGTGTAGTGCACTGTCAGCTAAATTTGCCCGGAGGTGGTGGTGACAGGGGGTGTCAATGGCAAGGCACTAGCAGAGCAAGTGTACTTTAAACTGTGAACGGTTATAAACTGAAAGAAATGAGGGGGGAAAGCGCATACTCACTCAGGTTATGGTTGTCTTTCTTCTGCCTCTCTTTAGCCACTGCACGAGCTTCAGCATCTTGCCAAAAACAAAAGGCAGTACTGTCAATCAACTAATATGATCAACATGTTTTGCAATACATGCAAATGCTAAATTTCTGATCTTTTGTAATAGTGACAATCAGGGACATTTCCTTGGAACGGTGAAACTTTGCTTAAATTTTATCCAGCAGAGTTATGTAATAATGTTTCTCTCATGTCTTACAATTGTAAAGCAATGTTGTTTACAGTAGGCTCTGCTCAATTTTCTGTTGTTTTTATTAGGTTAGTATGTCAACACATTATAATAAAACTGTGCATACGGTTTCTCTAGATATAAACCATAAAAACAACACTGAAATTTTTAAGTATGATCTAACTTTCTCAGCAATTTTCCTTGTGACACTGATGTCAGGTTTGCTTCCCATAATTCATGTCAGTCATATCACTTAAAATACAAACACTGTTAACGGGTATACAGTAGCAAGTAAACATTTAGATACTCTAAATGTGTTTTTCATGTTATATACCATTAATAAAGATAAGATGCATTTAAATAGTGTTTGTATGTGCAGCAGTACTCCGGTTTGTATGACTCTACCTGACAGCTCTCTCTTGATGGCCAGGTTGGCAGGGCAGGAGTTGCTGGTCATCGCGATAGCTGATCCGGACATACCTGGCCCCATGTACACATCCAAATGGCTGCTGGACAGTGGAAGCTATAGTGCACAAAAGAGATATACGTGAGTCTTGGTGAGTTGGAAGACAACAACAGCATTTAATGTTACAAAGACAAAATTTTCTTGGCATTACATAACAACATCATGAGCACAGTGAATTTTCCACTATTCAGACCAACAAATTACTCCGTATTAGAAGACTACTGCTGCATGTCCTTACTGCAATCCAAACTGCTTTCATTGCTGGACAAGATACAACTAGTTTGTCTTGCAAATGGCATTTTTATGAAGCTATATTCAGTGTAACCCTGGTAAATCATCACAATCACTAGATTCTCAATAAACACTCCGCTTATCTCTAAAGCAAAGCCATAAACGCTAGAGATACCGGAGATAAAACACAAAAAATATCACACTCGGCTATTGCTTCTGGGTGAGAGAAATGATTGACTATGTTCTTTCTTATCTAAGTCTTTATGGTTTTATACCAGTTGTATCTTTTATTCCATCTTAGTGTCTTAGTATAATTGTAAGCAAGCTGGCTCTGAGCTCCTAATGAGCCGTGGCAGCTCAGATACCTTATCACAGAGGCTACTGTGAAGCACGAATCCAAACAAACACAAATCAACAGTAAAAAGTCTGAGAGGGAAGCCTGTTATGCAAAGTGAAGCCGTTATTTCTGGTCAAATGCATGTCTGTCATCACCGTACACCTTGTGTTTTTCAATACTTCAGTGAAGCAGGCCGTACTGACACATTGAGAAAACAGAAAACTCTTTAAGCATTTCAAATGTGATAAACAAAGAGGAAAGTGTATAAGAGAGGGTGTGAACGTGTGAACGCCGCTTCCCGACAAACAATGGTGATGATTCAAAATACGTGTATGCACAATGCAAAGTGTCTGACGCCCTATTGGTTTTGGGAATTCCATCTCTAGAGGCTTTAATCACTGATCAAAGAAACAGTGATCAAAGGAGTGACATGGTCAAAAGGGTCAGAGGCGGGCGGCCTTTGCAGCCTCATTAGGAGTCTGAACCCCCATGTCTCTTCTGACCTTTAAAATCCCTAATGTCCCTCTGAAAAAATATAGTTTGCACATTAAATTTTGAGCAAAGTGGCCGATGTTTCTTATATACATAGAATCTGAGATTATTCGTTACCATTTGCATTTTTTAATGGCCGTATTACAAATCCACGAGGATTGGGGATTTAATTGTTCTGTGGATAAGCTTAATAAGGCCATTTATCAATGAAAACCTTTGCATACAGAAAAGTTGGTAGGGAAAAATGGCAACATACAGGACTAATTCAGGTAAATATGTTTCTGGCAAAACAACAGCAACATTTACTTATGCATGATGATTCCTATATGCAGGAGACCAAATCAGAGAGTCTGGAACCAAAGATCAATCATTATAATGGAAAACGATCCCCAAGAACGCTGATCAATTGGATGCACCCACTCCATACTGTAAAATCAATACTATTAAAAAAGGCAATCTAGTTGAAATATATAACAACAACAACAAGGACCTATGCTATCTAATAAATGAAAATTATATAATCAATTACTTGTCTTCCTTTTGTGGAACACATAATTTGAAGACAACAGACATACTTTTTTTCTATACAATGAAAATCAGTGGGTTCCAAAACAACTTTGAACCCCGCTGACTTCCATTGTGTGGACAGGCTTGGAATGCCATTTGGGTGAGTAAATGATGACAGAATTTTCATTTATGAGTGAACTATGCCTTTAAGAGTTGAAACAGTTGTACTCAGTTGCTCTCCTGCAGGTCCACATAAACAACAGCCATAAACAACGAGCCAACGAGCAATGCATGCTACAAGCCTACGGCTAAATGTGTGTGGCAAGGTTACCGGTGTCCTTAAAGTGCCCAAGGCATGTGCTCTTTCTTTCTAGTCGCTCTAGTTTCCAGGAATACAACGCACAGAATGCAAGACTAAACAACCCCCTCCCACCTCACTTCCTACCCAATATCAGCCTGAAAGAAGGAGAGTGATGGGCCTTACCAGCTGAATCTTCTCTCCATTGATAACCTCTACGATGGCATAAGTTTTATTTGTGTCTTTCATATTGGCCTCTGAATCTCTCATAGCTGCACACCCTTGCCGTTCACCCTCGACCTCCCCGGAGAGATTAACCTGAGCTGCACCAGGACCTTCTCTCTTCTACTTTCCCTTAACAACTAAACACTGAACTTTCCCCTTTCTGGACTTTCAGCCTCCCCTCTCCAGCCCTCTCTCTCTCCCAAACCTCCCCCCTGCTTTCCCACCTTCACGAAATGCCTTGTAAACAAGTTGAACTCTAACTGAGAGCAGCTTAATTGTTAATGTCGGGCAGTTACTTTAAATACAAAGCACAGTGCTCCCACTTTCCTGATTCCCAAGTCTTTCCTTGAGTGAATCAGGCCACAATTTTAAGTCAATTAAACACTTAAAATACTTAAAACCATGCTGAAGGAAGCTGGCAAGGTCCTAATATCGGTTATCCAATATATCGAGCGCAGAAAATTCAGCTGGCAAAGTTCTCGATGAGTCTAACAGAAAATAAGTCATTTTGAGGTCGCATGAGAGAAAAACAGTTGCATCATTTTTCTGAGACGGTGCTTTGCTATAATTAGACGTGACTTTTGGTAATCAGACAAAGATGCTTTTCATCCCTATAACCCTGATAAAAAGCAGCACAACAAATGGATCCAGTATAATTCCTCCATTGTTAATATACAAGGTTGTGGGGGTTTCAAAAATAGACGGTCATATAACAGTGCGGCAATAAGACGCAGCCTGTACATCATAAACAGGAATTATTCACTCAATTTTCTACTTACCTCATGGGATTCAGCGATCTGTATTAGTCACAGGCGGTAATGTCAATGGCTAAAAGGCCTGAACTGAGTGAAGCAGTTACTTACTGTGTTTGGCATCTGGACCACGGGGTCAATATAAGCCTGGATGTCATCATAACTGGACTGCAGGCTGATGATGTCATCAATAACCTCATCCATCTTGTCAAAAACAAACCCATAAGGAGAATTTTAGACACCTTGTACATTTGCATTCTACATAGTATGTACACGTTTCTTTTGATTTCTAAAGATTTTCTCTATAAATTCTTCAAAATAAGACAATATCCAAAGGAAAATTTTTCTAGAAAATACCAGTGAAAGATGTATTCCTCTTAACAGCCCTACAGACATTATCCTTGTGTAGTTTAGCTCACAAAGGTCGTTAGTATGCCACAAGCACACATTCACTTAGGATCCCATATGATTTGGTGGCATTGGGAGCAGAGGAAGGAAGGAAGGAAGGACCAAAGTCTGCTCTGTTCCAAAGGGCCGTCTTGCCTAAGGTTCCCTGTCACTCTTTAATCTTAAATTATACCTCCACGGCCATAATTGGCCACTTAAACTCCAATGACAATGAAGTTAAGTTAGTTAACACCCTGACCTTTGTGTGCACTTGAGCAAATAACACCCACGAAAAAAGCATGAATCATGAACAGCATGTTGTATGAGAGATGAGCAAGACTTTGTCATTTACTAAACGTTAGATTTCTGTGAACTCAAAGAGGAACCATGGTGCTAAGTATAAAACTGCAAAAGATATACTAACTGTAAATTAAACATCAACAAACTGAATCATGATGAATGTAAGGACATGTTATGGGAAAAGTGTTCATATCAAACATGCCTAGACATGATTACAACCACAACCGTGTGAAAATGAAGAAACGCTGAACTACCTCATTCTCATGGCTGGAGCCGATGTTGAGCATGGACATGGGACTGTTGGGTGCGCTGTTCCCAGCAGAGGTCATGAGCTGCTCAGTGCGCATGCAGGGAGAGGGCATGGATGGTGGGACGGTTCCTGTCTGACCCTGGGGCATGGTGGGAGGAGAGGGCTGTACCAAGCTTGTGACCGCATGTACAGCCTGCTTGCTGGCGTATGTGGTGGACAGGTACTCCTTGACCTGCTGCCGCTGAGACTGTCGAATATGGTAGTCTGTAGGGTTCTCAAGATGGGTCTGCACCTGTAAACATAATAATATAATATAATATAATATAATTATATATTATAAGCAGTTTTCACAAGAATAAATTACATTTTAAAATATGTTAAATAGAGTTCTTATAAATTGTAATAATATTCCACAATATTGCTGTTTTACTGTATTTTTGATCAAACAAATGCAGCCTTGGGTGAGCATAAGAGACTTTTTTATTTTTTCATAAAAAATGAAAAGATTATACGGACTCCAAATTTTTGAATGGTAGTGGAAACATATTTTGACTGATATAAAAACTGTAAGAATGCAATGACTTGCATTTTCTAAACCCACACACTGAGTATTAAACACAGAAGTTTAAAAAGAAAAAGTGTGCACCACCTGGCACCATCATGTCTCATGATTTACTCTTTCAGTGGAAAGAACAGTGTTTTTACTGTCACCATTACACATTACAAATAAAATCAAGCCAAAGCCTCCAGGCTCAGCCAGCGTTATAGATTGTTATGTAACTGTGGGGTTTAAATCTAGGCATGTACGGGAAACACAGGTGCCAGAAAGAGCCTCCAGAAGTTCACTGAATCACACAGGCACCTGCAGATGGAGTTTCAGAATGGTTACGAGTTACGTCTGACCGGACTGGCCTCATTCTTTCACTTCAAAGCCAGACTGACTTTAACCGAGTGATTCAGGACACAAAACTGACATTTGACAAAATGTGCACTGATGAAAAGAAAAATGGATTTAAGTGTTAATAAAACAACATATTGCCCTGTGCACGTATGCATGACTGTGCTCACATTTTAGCAAGCATGCATATCAACAAAATGGTGTCTGTATGTCGATGGAAAATATTAGCCATAATACCACATTCCTGAATGAAAACAAGCCTCAGGATTAGTGGATGAAAGCCTTTAGTTTACACTTTAGCTCCCAAATTATTCAATCCCAGTCCGAGCACTTTCCCTTTAAGATTAACACATATGTTGGAGCAAGTAAAACTTTTATGGGCAGTTTCAGTGAAGGATACAGGACTCCAATTTACACACACAAGCTGTAAAGTGGGGATACTGTCTGGGAGGACTTTCCCCTGGTGTTAAACCCCTCTATGAATGCTATGTAAAGGCATTTCAGGCAGGGCCAGTTGCTCTAAACTCTCAGAGGTGAAATTACAGAAGGTTAGTTGTGGTTAGAAGTTCATCTCACATGGAGCCCTTCATTACATACTTTTATTCAATCTAGGAACGGTGGGGGTAAATGTCCAGTTAAATTATACGGCACTGTGTGAAACAGGAGCTGCTGTTGCTTAATCCTGAGGTGACACATGGTTGGCTGCATGGGAGGGCAGCAACAACATGCTAGTGGCACAATTTATTGCCATTTACACTCAAGAAACATAACAGTGTAGCTATACATATATTATTTCAATTGAAATGAAATTAATCACTACCATTAATACATTTGGGGTCAGTAAGATTAATAAGTTTTTCAGCAAGGATGCAGTGAATTGATCAGTAAAGACATTTATGCTATACTCAAGATTTCTATTTCAAATAAATGTTATTTTGAACTTTCTAAACAAAGAATCCTGAAAAAATGTATCATGGTTTCCACAAAAAATATTAAGCAGCTTAACTGTTTTACCAAGAAAAGTTTCTTAAGCACCAAATAAGCATATTAGAATGATTTCTGAAGGATTCAGCAGTACCATCACAAGAATAAATTACATTTTAAAACAGAATAAACATATTTAAAATAGAAAACAGTTATTTTAAATTGTATTAATATTTCACACATTTTTGATCAAATAAATGCATCCTTGGTGAGACTTCTTTTAATAACATCTTTGCTTCTGGCTTAATTTCTGCTTTTTAACACAAATAAATTATCTTAAAGGATAACAATAACATCACAATATGCATTCTATTTATTATTATTAATTATATTAGTATTACTTTTACCGTTTTTTATGAACTGATACAATTAAGTTGAAAATTCTAAATATCGATACAAAATGCCAGTCAAAATGATTGTCCGTCTCTTTCTCTAATGTCAACAACACTTCCTAAATCTGAAGTTCAGTTTGAATGATTCAGTTAATTTGTCAGAGATTACTGTTTTGGAGGAAGTTGAACAAACCTTAACAATGTTTCTGGTTACACAAACAAAGTTGTTGAGCAAGTAACTTGATTGAGAACAGAGACTTTTTCTGTCTATTCAAAGGAGCACAAGAAGCTTTACAGTTCCAAAAAAAAACGGTGGGGCTTTTTGTCAGGCTTTGAAATCAGAATGAAAGAAAAAAAAAAATCTAAAAAAAACTTTATGTAGGTGCAATACAAAGTTTCATAACATCACACACACCCAAACTCAAAATTCCACATCTGCACGCTGAGGACAGAATTGCTTTCTTTAAACTAACTGATAACAATCCAGGAAAACAACGACAGAATCATACAGAAGCATGTCACCTGTAAGAATGTCTTCCTGTGTGTTATCTCTAAATAAGTTATGTAACACAGGCCCCTCTTTTCTGTCTTTTTCCTCTTACCTGGCTGCCGTTCCACCGCATTCTTCTACAAATATTCCTTGCTTTGTTTTTGATCTTAGTTGAAATGTAATCCAGCACACTAAAGCCGTAGTCAGTCCTGCATGACCCACTGACTTCTGGACTTTGCCCACTACTCTTTCACCGCAACATGAGAGGAGATTACCGGAGGACCTAATCTTGCCTAATTTGGTCTTCGTGCACTCCTTAAAACCCATTCACCCTGTTGGGACCACTAGGGTGGCCAGAGCGCTAGACTACCTAATGGAAGGCAAGATTAGGGTCTCATGGGGAAGCTCATTCATACCCCGGAACAGAGAACCGCACGATGATTAGAGGGAATTTGGCAAGATATTAGGGAGAGGGCACATCCCACTAATAATCAGTCTTGGCAAAGTATTTCCACAAAAATAGAAAATCTCTTGCACTCATGACAGGTTTCGATGGATGAGTCATACTGGTTAATGTGGTCACACGACCTGGCATTATTGTTGGCTCTTTGATTAATTGCTTTTCTTCCCCGTTTTTCAAACTTGTTTTGGATAAAAGTATCTGCTAAATGCATAAATGTAAATGTGAGATACGGTCACATACGCTGATGGATATGCCTACCTTTAACACTTCAACAGGCACCTGCATGGGTGACTGAAAGTGTGTTGGTGCGCTGATGGCTGGCGAAGGTGCTGGTGGGCCTGGCATGTGATGCTGCATGTAATGCATGGATGCTGCCTGTTGCTGCTGCCGCTCCCGCTGCTCCTCCTGCTGCATTTGGTCCCGCATGAGCTGCAGGCGCAGGCCAATGCGTGACGACATGGCTGGGGGACGCGGGGGGCGGGCTGCTGTCACCGTGCAGTCCAGCCCGAAGAGTGGTGGGGTGTCTGCAAAGGAAATGGTTAGAGGAAGTGAATATGAAGTAAATGGATTTCTAACAAATGTGGGTTTTTGCACTTTCTATTCATCAAAAATCCTGAAAAAAGCAGTTTCCATCATCAAAGATTTTTCAACACTGATAGCAATAAGAAATGTTTCGAGCACCAAATCAGCATATTAGAAAGATTTCCGAAAATTCTGCTTTGCAAAAAATGAATAAATTACATTTTAAAATAGATAAAAACATAAAAATATATGGTGGTAACCCAAAAAACATTTAGAGAATTTTAGGCATGTAATATTATATTCAAATTTGATATTTAACCACCAAATGATGCATTCACAATTTTAGTCATTTGGATGTCCTAAAATTGCCCATAAGATTATCAACAGCCTATGGCATTTTTCATTAGATCTGTGCTCCATTCTACAAGAAGACTGATAGCTCTAAATAAATACATTCTCAGAAGTAACGATGAGTGTGATGGGGGAAGTCATGCGAGGGTCAGGTGGTGTTTTTCTTTTCTATTGAAGCTCATGTGAGTAGCCTTTTCAATTTGGAAATGCCTCCAAAACCTCCTCACCCCACAAAACAGAAAGGCCCACACCCTGTTTCTTCTGCGGTCCTGGGGAGTCCCTAAGTGAAGGAGTTCCTCTTTTTGGGGTGCTACAGAAGACCAATATGCAAACAAGCATGACTTTGCTGTTATTGGAGACATTGCTGTTAAGATACAAAACGGAACTGGAATTTAAGTGTACTTTTTGAAAAAGATGGGGTGCTGAGTATGCACGCTATGTAAGATAAAGCCATCTGAGGCCTGTCTGGTGCATCTCAGTAGAACCACATCACAAACTATTCTGTGGAAAGGGACTGTGCCGCCTATGGAGAAAAGCTTATTGTACTAGAGGTACAATAAGCAAAGCAGCTCCTATTGAGATGGCACTGAAGCAGTATTTAGCCCACAGTGTACATTTCAGCGGTGGAGGGGGGCACGCACACTACAAGCTTTGTGGTTCACACTGGTCAGTGAACACTTTTAGGCTTTGTCACCAGGGCAGTTGCCAGAGGTTGACTCAGTTCCAGGAGAGCGGAGCTGTCTCGCAAACAGATGGACTGATGTGCAACAGAACCGGGCCACCGGGGTGGTTGATAACCTGCTGGTATTTGATTTTAAACTTAATGAGGCAAGATAAGATATGGATGTGGCACCAGAGCTACATTATTATTTTTCTAAAAACACTTTAATGCCAAATTTTCACTGCAAAGATGGCACAGAAGCTCTTGAATGCTGCTCAGAGGTGGCATAAATGTATTGACACAGTTCTGTCACAGTTCTGTCTTCTCAGAGAGTTCAGCATATTAATATACATGACAATGTTAATGTGTTTGATCTTGGTGGAATAGATCTGCTGCTGCTGCTGTGGCAGAGCAAGCACTGAGGCCTGCTACTGCCAAAACATACACAGACATGCTGCTATGAGCATGTAAGAAAAACTGCTGCTGCACATATAACATATATTAAATAACCCCCATAATAATATGCATGAAATCACCCCATAGTAGACCTATACAGGTGGAGCTGGGGAAGGTGGAGTGTTTGCGCTGCAACTGCTACAACCAGCACTAGCCGGGTATTTGAATGTTAAGCAGCAAGCTCATTGGCTGCTGATATGAAAATAACCAATCATCTGTGCCATGTGAATAAGGATGCCATTATGTCAGATTGATTTGAACGTATCGAACTGCGCCATCTAGAGTTTCATGACAGACCTTTGGATTTATCACAATTGTGTGTTTTGATAATAGGGGCTGAGGTGGGTCAGAGCAGGCATAATTTAGGTCTACTCTGGCTTTTATCCAGCATTGCATCTTTATGCTGAATTTTGAGCAGGTACAGAGCAGCTTTAACTCAGCTATGTACAGATGTACTAAAATATTCTGGTTTATAGATATGACTCGTGTAAAGGTGTGGTCACATTTACTGTTGTTTGGTGAATTTTCATTTGAATGATCAGGAATTTTCTTTTCCCACACATATTTTGCAACAGGTTCAAGTTAGTCACACATATTCGCTGCATTGATTGACAATGGATATTGTTTTTTGCCTGAGGAATTTTATTAAAATTTCACTAATGTGACCGCACCTTAAGAGTGTGGAAAACACTCAACTGCAAGTCTGACTTTTTGGAAAAACAATCTAAGCAATCTGTCATTGGTCAGACAGCTAGTCCCGCCTCCAAACTCATACTGAGTCAGTGTTGTTGTGTCAGGCTGGGGTACGTTTCCCAAAAGCAACTATGGTTGCAAGTTCCGTTGTAACCAATAGAGTTCAATGAAACTTGCAACCATAGTTAGCTTACAATGCTTTTGGGAAACGCATCCCTGATTGGGATTCTCAAACAAACCGAGCAATGTTTTGATAGTGTCACAGAGCCACAGTATTTACACATTTACTCTCTAATAGTACAGAAATGGTGATAATTATTTTTGTTATGGTCTATAATAAAGTCATATATTAAATGCTAATAGGGGACTTAGGCATCATAACATTATAATGTACAGTATGAAAAATATTCATTTTGAGATCCTGCTAAAGAGTACATTTAACAGTGTTTATGTATTAATATAAATGTAAAAATTGGGAAAATTAGCTAATTAAATATTAAATACTGACCAAAGCCAGTAACTTATCTCTAATATCTCTAATATCAATATCTCTTATATCAGCCAGTAACTGATATGGTACCAGCATATTGCACATCCCTAATGGAATCAGACTATCAATGGCTTACATATAGTCATCTCTACTTCTTAATTGGGATAGGAATTTGTAACTTTGGTTTTAAATATGAGCAATAGCTTTAGCAAACACCACTAATGAGTAACTGGTCAAATAACTGGTAAACATTTCTCAGCTCTTTCAGTGAAGAAACTGATAGCATGGCTATTTCTCAGAAGTCCACTGAACAGTCAGAGTTGGGCATTCTTCTATCACTATTGTATCAACAGAGGATTTGAGTCTCAGCCCTGTACACAGTGACGTATTTACTCGGCATATACTGACGCTGCTCTGTGCGTACGCCACCTCCTCCTGTGCCGTTGCTCTCCCACACCGCCCATCGGCGAATGCCAGGCATACACTGCCATGATGGAGACGCATCCAAACAAAGCCAGTTATCAAAGTGCCCTATTGTCACAGTAGCCACTGAATTCATGGCATCTCTACATCAAAGGATGAAGAAAAATAGAAAAAGTGGGCCACAGAGTTTATACACACATAAAAACACACGTGCATACTTACAAAGCCTTACAGCATTCAATATACTATTATACTTGCGTGTCGTCTTTTATATGTAAAACTATGTAAAAGTAAATGTAAAGGTATGTACTATGTAACAGTATCTATTTAGTAAATTAAGTAAACGTAAATTATATGACAGAAATATGACAGAATTTCTATGTATTATTGCAAATTAAAAACCTAATAAATTGTATTACATTTTTGTAAATAATACAATGCTATATTAAATAAAAAATGAAATAATATGAAATAAATGTGTTTTCTGGAAAATGAAATGATATTTTAAAAATATTACTTTACTTTCAAAATTATTGAGGCCATTGAACATATATGCCAAGCAGACAGAAATAGTCCATATTGTTGTATTCTGAGATTTTCACATGTTATTCCAGCCATTTAGAAGCTGTGACTGCAAATATTTATTTGCATAGTTGAAAAGTACATGCATGTCTTCCTTAATTCACAAAGACGATGATAAAGGAGAAAGAAACAACAGGGTGGGTACAGAATCAGGAAATTACAAGTACTCAAACTCACACTGCCTGCACGAGCACCATTGTGCAATGTGCCAGAGCACATGCACTAACCACCAGGCCAATACCCCAACAAATATCCTAAACACAACTATTCCAGGAAACGTGCAAATCTGACTACTAATACACTAATACACCCCATGGGTCAAAATTCGCCAATTAACTGCTACTAGATTGTAACAGAGTTAGTACAGTTTACAAAAACTAAAACCACTTCCTACAATGCAACTAGCATTAGCCAAAGAAGCTAGCAGAGGAAACAATTGATCAGTATGCCTCATTCAGAGGCCAAGTCTGCAATATCAGATATGAGCTCGTTCACTAATTTAGTGAGTAACTGCTTATATGCAAATATGAATATAACTCTTGGGTTTCGGTGGAGTTTTGGAAACTGCAGTAACCTGCACAGGATGAGTGGACAGGGGTCTTGCAAAGAACCATATTATGCTGCCCACCCTTTACCACCCACCCTGTCTAGCAAGGCAGTGAGGCAAGCGGAACCAAAAATAACACTCACACTTTCTGTTCCTGTTTGCAGAGACACCCTGTTCCCTCGGGGGAACAGACTGCCGGTGTGTAAATTCTATGTCTCTGCAGCACACAGTGAACTTTCCATACTCTGGCCAACTTATCTGGCATGGTCTAAGGATTCACACTCGCACATGGGATTAACAGTCGCTGGGATAACATTCGGTGGGATGGGCAAGGGAAGGACAGTTCTCAAGTAGGATGATGAACCTTCTGGCAGTGTCTTCACAGCACCCTTTTCCTTCCTCTTTTGCCTCAAGATAAGCAAGAGTGTCAGTTCTAGGAAGAGCTGCTCTTATTTGGGTTTTGATTTGGTACAAACCAGGTGACAAACATTACAAGGAATTCAACTGCAGCTGATAACGACAAATGGCAGATATTAAAAGTTTATGGTATTGTTGAAATAAATTAAAAATAAAACAGTAAAAATGGCAGTGAGTTTACGAGCTGCAAATGAATTTAGGCATTATATGGAAGTTTATTTTTTAGCAGGATGGCAATATATAAACTCTATACCATTTCATTTTTTATTCCATGGTGAAAACAAGCTTTTTTTCTCAGAATTGCAAGAAAAGTCACAATTGTGAGATAAAAATTTGCAGTTACTTTTATATTACAATTTATTCAACAATACTTCTCCCCAAGGTACCGTCTTCCGCCATTTTGGAGAGTACCCCAGAACGTAATCAACATAATCAGCGTTGTTTACGCTCAGCATGCGTGCGCTTTCGCTGAACGTAATCAGCGTTGTATACGTTCAGCATGCACAAGCTTTCTACTGAACGTAAACAACGCTGATTATGTTGATTACGTTCTGGGGTACTCTCCAAAATGGCCGAAATCGGTAAACTTACTATGTAAACTTGCTTTGTAAACTTACAGTTGAACCCCTGATGTCACATGGACTATTTTACCAATGTCCTTTCTACGTTTCTGTGCCTTGATCGTGGTAGTATCCTTGCTGTCTATGGAGAGTCAGAGAGCTCTCAGATTTCATCAAAAATATCTTAATTTGTGTTCCGAAGATGAACGAAGGTCTTACCGGTTTGGAACGACATGAGGGTGAGTAATTAATGACAGCCAATTAACTGCTACTAGATTGTAACAGAGTTAGTACAGTTTACAAAAACTAAAACCACTTCCTACAATGCAACTAGCATTAGCCAAAGAAGCTAGCAGAGGAAACAATTGATCAGTATGCCTCATTCAGAGGCCAAGTCTGCAATATCAGATATGAGCTCGTTCACTAATTTAGTGAGTAACTGCTTATATGCAAATATGAATATAACTCTTGGGTTTCGGTGGAGTTTTGGAAACTGCAGTAACCTGCACAGGATGAGTGGACAGGGGTCTTGCAAAGAACCATATTATGCTGCCCACCCTTTACCACCCACCCTGTCTAGCAAGGCAGTGAGGCAAGCGGAACCAAAAATAACACTCACACTTTCTGTTCCTGTTTGCAGAGACACCCTGTTCCCTCGGGGGAACAGACTGCCGGTGTGTAAATTCTATGTCTCTGCAGCACACAGTGAACTTTCCATACTCTGGCCAACTTATCTGGCATGGTCTAAGGATTCACACTCGCACATGGGATTAACAGTCGCTGGGATAACATTCGGTGGGATGGGCAAGGGAAGGACAGTTCTCAAGTAGGATGATGAACCTTCTGGCAGTGTCTTCACAGCACCCTTTTCCTTCCTCTTTTGCCTCAAGATAAGCAAGAGTGTCAGTTCTAGGAAGAGCTGCTCTTATTTGGGTTTTGATTTGGTACAAACCAGGTGACAAACATTACAAGGAATTCAACTGCAGCTGATAACGACAAATGGCAGATATTAAAAGTTTATGGTATTGTTGAAATAAATTAAAAATAAAACAGTAAAAATGGCAGTGAGTTTACGAGCTGCAAATGAATTTAGGCATTATATGGAAGTTTATTTTTTAGCAGGATGGCAATATATAAACTCTATACCATTTCATTTTTTATTCCATGGTGAAAACAAGCTTTTTTTCTCAGAATTGCAAGAAAAGTCACAATTGTGAGATAAAAATTTGCAGTTACTTTTATATTACAATTTATTCAACAATACTTCTCCCCAAGGTACCGTCTTCCGCCATTTTGGAGAGTACCCCAGAACGTAATCAACATAATCAGCGTTGTTTACGCTCAGCATGCGTGCGCTTTCGCTGAACGTAATCAGCGTTGTATACGTTCAGCATGCACAAGCTTTCTACTGAACGTAAACAACGCTGATTATGTTGATTACGTTCTGGGGTACTCTCCAAAATGGCCGAAATCGGTAAACTTACTATGTAAACTTGCTTTGTAAACTTACAGTTGAACCCCTGATGTCACATGGACTATTTTACCAATGTCCTTTCTACGTTTCTGTGCCTTGATCGTGGTAGTATCCTTGCTGTCTATGGAGAGTCAGAGAGCTCTCAGATTTCATCAAAAATATCTTAATTTGTGTTCCGAAGATGAACGAAGGTCTTACCGGTTTGGAACGACATGAGGGTGAGTAATTAATGACAGAATTTTCATTTTTGGGTAAACTAACCCTTTAAGAACTTCATTCATCTTCGGAACACAAATTAAAATATATTTTTGATGAAATCCAAGAGCTTTCTGACCCTGCATAGACAGGTACGTATGTACGTATGGTTCAACTGTAATTTTATGAAGCTAATACAATACTTTTTGTGCACAAAGAAAACAAAAATAATGACGCGTGGTGCTGCTAATGCAGGAGCCGGTGTTCTGACGTAGAACGTAGAGGATGTGCTGCGGCTTGTTTTCAAGCAGAGGAATGTACATGTATGCATCGTGGAACTGTCGTGAACACGTGTCGAAGACTGACACAGAAGAGAAGAAATTGTCGTTGTTATTTGTGTTTTGTTTGCGCACAAAAAGTATTCTCGTAACTTCATAAAATTGTTGAAACCATGTTAAAAACTGTCGAAAAATGGTTGAACCACTGATGTCACATGGACTATTTTAAAGATGTTCTTACTACCTTTCTGGGCCTTGAACATGGTAGTTCTGCTGCTGTCTGTGCAGGGTCAGAAAGCTCTCGAATTTCATCAAAAATATCTTAATTTGTGTTACGAAGATGAACGAATGTGATAAATATGATAAATGATATGGTATTCAATATGATAAATGATATGGTACCGATATATTGTGCATCGCTTTGTTTATAAATATTGTACGATAAATTACAAAGATGACTGAGAAATCTTTTAAACAGTGTTGAGGACTTCAATTAAATCACTAAATATCATCTGGGGTCCCATGATTTCAAGAAAAAAAAAAATCCCCAAATGATGCTTGTGTCATGTGCAGTGTGGTCATGCTTCTTGGGCTCCCATCAACACAGCGATTACCTCACTCTCAAACTCTCGCAATCAAGTAAATAAACATCACTCGAACTTCTGCTTTTACAGTCACTGATTCTGCTGTCCTCATTCCAAAAGTGATATACGCGGTTTCATTTAACCATGGACTGACAATAAGAATGAAGAAAATGCCAATTCAATAAATATCAAAAGAGAACAAACACTTTTTAGGTTTCCCAGCTTTCACATGAACAAGACACATGCATGATCTTCCTTACTTTTAAGTAAATGTGAGTCATTGCTAGTCAATGCAAGACAACTTAATCCTGACACAACTGTCATAATAAATTTCAGATGTTTGCTTACTAGAACAGGTTTTTACTGTAATATATATATATATATATATATATATAGTGTAACTTGACTGTATCTAGTCTAACTTGATTAGATTCTCTCTTATCTAGTGACTACAATGCCCTGTGGGTGACTTGTTTCAAAATGTTCAAAACACACATAAACAACACAAAACTACTTCATTTCTGCTGTCTTTGCCATGCCAATTACTGTCTGACCTCTTGGCTCTGGCAAAGGAAAATATATTTGTTTATTATTATTGGACAATGCTGCTATTGAGAAGTTTGTAAAAAAAAATATCGCAAATGCTGTGGCGTGCAGTGAGAGCCACGTGCAAAGATTTTCATGGACTTGGAAGGACCATGAATAGTTTTAAGTTCTCTGCCATACCCAGTATGATATAAAAACAATGTCAGATATGCCTTTTATGCATATTTTCTTTATATAAACCATTTTATACTGAGAGGGCACTTTATTTACTCAACCCTTGTCACTGATTGCTCACTCGTTCAACAGGAAATCACAACCCCATAACGACCTAATGCAACTTCCAACTTTGACGACACTTACGGGAAAATGTATAAACGACCCAATGGGTTTTCCTAACAGACAGGCCCATCTGCGTTCAGGCACACACTGAATAGTGTATTCTCCATGGCTTTCTGTGCCTTTATTCATTTCTCTCTGTGAGAAATATCTCACAATTACCTCTTTGTGTAGAAAGTGCTGAAAGTGATCTGGGTGTCCTCCACGCGCTGCTCTCTACATGACTGGGTGCCTGCTTATGAGTGGGCTGAAAAACTGGAAAAGAGACACAGAGATTTGTATTAGTGGCCATCCTTTGCCCGGTGAGTAACATGAAGAGGTTTCTGGCTGTGGCTGGATGAACTGGAGTGATGACGATGTTGCAGATAGCTGCGGCTGTGCTGTTTCTAGCGGTCAAAGTAACAAGGCAACAGGTGCATCAAGGATATATCTATTTATATGTACATCTGGTATCTGGGTTAAACTGGAAACATCTAATTAAACTTCTTTCCAAACTGTGAGAATTAAACTTGTATAGTGCATTCATATTTACAGACCCAGCAACCGAGTAAAGATATTCTGCACATTGAGGTGAGGTACAAAAATCATTCTATCCAATGGATCCAGTGATCTTAGAGCAACCACCTACATTACAGGAAATACATGCATGTTATGTTCATCTATAAAAAAAAAGCACTGCTTTCCAGGGACTACAGTTGATGTGAATATTTTAGTTAATACTGCTAATATTTAACTGCCAATATTTGTCTCTCTAAATAAAATTAAATATATAACTATATAACATTTTATTATATTTAAACCCAAACTGCAGATTTTTACTCTAAAATCAGCACCGAAAATGCCACAAAATCCACTGATTCCATCCAGGTTGGTTTATGGATGTCTGCCACTGATTTCTCCCACAATAATAGAGTATCATAATAAAAGCTAGTCCAAATCGACTTATAATCTCTTTTAAATAGCTACACAACCATGTTAACCAAACATGCTTAACACGGGCCTACAATGACAAGCCAAGTAGATCTCAGTTAAGTGTGAGACTTCCAATAAAACACATTTCCCAGCCACTGAATATGTGCATCCAACAAAGTGAATATTCAATCTTGTTATGCGTCGTTGAAATCAAATTATACACAAAGCTCGTAATGATTCACTCTCCATACCTTACATGCAGTTGTTGACAGGCAGTGCAAACAAAGAAGGCCGGTCAATGATTATCTCGTCTTATTCATCACAAACACAATCCCCGTATAAGTCCAAACCCCAGTGGCGTCCTAACAGAAAACTGAGCCTTCATGTTGAAGCATGGCTCTTATACTAGAGGCTGTGCGGGCTGACAGCGCCGCCACTCGTGACCAATAGCCACAAAGAAAAAGAGAGGGAGAGCAATCAGCAGTCACAGGGAAATCCTTAGTCATGAAGTCTTACAGTACAGTGTCCACAACTTCTCCTCTTCTGTCTATTACCCCCTCCAGTTCCCCTAAATGACCCAAACCCTGTGAGCTTCCGTGAGAAAGGAACAAGGGGACTTCATTGTCCCTCATCTCTTTCCTCGAGTCCTCTTCCGTCTCATCTGACTGTGCCGCTGAATGTAATGAGTCTGGAGGAGTGTGGTGAATCACTGGTTAGGTTGGGTCAGCAAAACACTCATGTGGACATGTGTAAACACGCTTTACACGCCACATATTGATACATTTGGATTACTGTAAATTATCATGGAAGTCGCTCTTAATCGGTGTACGGTGTTGCCTTCACCGCAAGTTGAAGCGTGCTGATGCACATGAATGTTACATGAATGTCTAGGATTATATGCAAAGAGACTTGCTTTCAAGGTACTTTTTTAACCTGGGAATTAAACCCATGTCCCTTGATTTGCTATGGGACATGGTGCTCTGACATAGTCAAGTGATGACGACGATGATGATGATGGTGGTCAAGCATTCAAAAGTTTGCGATCGGAAGTCTTTTATGCTCACTAAGGCTGCATTCATTTGGTAAAATACAATCAAAACAGTAATATTTATGCAATTTAAAGTCTTTTTTCGATTTTAATATATTTTATATTGTAATTTATTCCTGTGATGGTAAAGCTGAATTTTCAGCAGCCATTACTCCAGTCTTCAGTGTCTCATGATCCTACAGAAATTATTCTAATAATATGCTGATATGGTGCTCAAGAACCATTTTTATTCTCATTGACAACAGTTGTGCTGCTTAATATTTTTGTGGAAGCCTTGATAAATTTTTCAGGTTTCTTTGCTGAATATAAAGTGCAAAGGAACAGCATTTATTTGAAATAGAAATCTTTCGTAGCATAGTCACTTTTGATCAGATAATGTATCTTTTGTTGAATAAAAAACATAAAACGAATGCATGGAAATGCATGAAATCATTGGCCGTTTATATGACAGTCCACCCAATAATGAAAATTCTGTCATTTTCTCAACCTTGTGTTGTTACAAACATGTATGACTTTCTTTATTCTGTGGAACTCAAAAGAAGATACAATGAATATTATTGTGATTCTTTGATATTTGAACCCCACCGGTCTACCTTTTGTGATCTGCAGAAGAAAAAATAGTCATACAGGTTTGGAACAACATGAGAGTGGGTAAATATTCTGGCAAAAATGCAAACCTTGAGTTTTGGATTAAAGGAGGAAGTCGTGGCCTAATGGTAAGAGAGTCGGACTCGTAACCCAAAGGTTGTGGGTTCGAGTCTCATACCGGCAGGGATTGTAGGTGGGGGGAGTGAATGTACAGCGCTCTCTCCCACCTTCAATACCACGACTGAGGTGCCCTTGAGCAAGGCACCGAACCCCCAACTGCTCCCCGGGTGCCGCAGCAAAAAATGGCTGCCCACTGCTCCGTGTGTGTGTGTGTGTGTGTGTTCACTGCTGTGTGTGTGCGCACTTAGGATGGGATAAATGCAGAGCACTAATTCCAAGTATGGGTCACCATACTTGGCCACATGTCACTTCACTCACTTAAAGTGTGTGCTAAATTGCAAATGCTTTGTTTTTGTCGTTTAGGAACAGTGGGTGGGAACAGTGAAGAAAAGTCAAATGTAATGGAAGGTGCATTGCAGGAAAGCAGGAAACATGATACACTGAGAGCTTTCCTAACATGTAAGATCAAGCCAAAGACCTTAGAAAATGTTACATGAAACTGGTGCTTTCAGAATAAATATAACAGCTGTGACATTGTCTCCCCCTAGTAATAATAAAAATAGACATTAAATATTATGTTTATATTCTGTAAAATGTTCCAAGTGCACTGGGTAAAGGGCAGATACATTTTAAGGAATGACACCATGATTTGCCCCCAAGAAATAGTCAAATGTGCATTCAGTAGGCCAGTGTTTTCACCACTGCCGTGGCACACTAGTGTGCCGTGAGAGGTTGTCAGGTGTGCCGTGGAAAATTATCAAAAACTTCCTTCTCTCTGTTATATTTAGTTATTATTATTTTAAATCAGTGCTATTGGTCATCATTATGTCCTTTTGTGGGTTTTACAAATATTTAACCAATGAACAGCTTTCAAAAGAGCTTGTGACTAAACCTCGTAATGCCATTGGATCCTCAAATTGTCAGTCAAACCTCATAACTCCACCCCTCCTCCATTCAGAATGAAGTTCCGCGTCACGCAGTTTGAAGACAGACGGCTACTTCTTCGCAATGCAAGGGTAAATAAAGAACTGGGGCCAGTTGCATAAACTTATCCACCATGTTAAGACTGTGTCTTAAGAACTAGTTTGACCAACTAGGAGTTGCCAAGGGGTAATCAGTCTTACAAATAAGAACAATCTTCCTTTTCATAACTGAATTAAAAAAGTTATGACCAGTCTTGAAGAAAAAAATTAGGTGACTAACTTTTTAAGACTAACCTAAACAGTTTATGCAACCAGCCCCTGATGTTTGAACAAGTACAGCGTTTCCTTTACTCAAGAAACGCTGTCTATAAAGGCTAATGTTTTTGTGTGTTTAAAGAGCAGAGAAGAGACTTAGCATTTGCTGTCTAGTTGTAGCCAATACACATTTGTACATTTTAAATATCCTGTGCATAGCCGTTCATCTTTTATATCATGAGATTTTGGCCAAATGTATTAAACAACAAGAGAAACTGAGCGCCAATATAGCTACAATAAACTGTATAACCTGCAAACTGATGAAAACGTAATGCGATTAATTAACTGCCTCAGATCAGATCTGCCATTCTAATGATGGACAAAACACAGATCTCCGTCATTCGGTCGTCAAAAACCTTGTTAACTCCATTTGAGTATGATTTTCAGAAAAGAAGCGCAAGTGTGTGATCATATATAAAGCGAAAATACCAACTCTGATGATGAAATGTTTAATTATTGGGGAAGAAAAAACCTTTTTCCCTTTCTATCTTTTTCTTTTTTTTTTTAAATGCTTAGTGGTGTGCGTTGGGATTTTTTACATATCAAAACTGTGCCGCGGCAGAAAAAAGGTTGGGAAACACTGCAGTAGGGCAACAATTTGCTAACTCCAAATAATGAATTACAATCATCAGACAAAACAACGACTGATGGAAGGGTGAGTTAAGAGGAAGTGAGATGTTAGTTACAAGAAATGAGTATTGCATTATGCCTGAATAATTCCCACCTCTGCTTTAGATCATGTGCGCATAAAAAAAAATAGATTTCTGCATTATGGGGTTCTGTGACATTTACAGCATCAAACTTTATACCGATATTTAAAGACTTACAGTTAAAGTCTCAAATTGTTTTGAATAGCTTGATTTCCAGTATAACAGTGATTCTTGTGCAGTTGTCTCAGGATCCAAATTTAACACCAATTTTAGGTGCAAAAAATCCTTATAGAAATTGCAATGTGCTAAATTAAAAATCACTTTCACGGATCTTTTCCTGGACCATTCCCAGCTGGTGGAACGACCTGCCTATCTCAATTCGAACAGCTGAGTCTTTCGCCATTTTCAAAAAACATCTAAATACATCTTTTTCGCCAGTACCTGATTAGTGGTCGACCGATATTGGTTTTTTGACAGCCGATGCCGATATCTTGGAAAGCAGGGGGGGCGATAGCCGATATAAAGCCGATATAATTTGTTTTTAATTTTAATTCATATTTAAGAAATTTGAAATTATTTGAAAATGGATTACAAAATAAATGTGTAAAATAAACATACTGTACTTATACTTTAGATGACAAAGTATTTTTCACAAATAAATAAATATTTAATAAAAATATAATTAAAAAGTAAGTAAACACTGTACAGGGCACTCAGTATTCTGGGAAGTTTGTGTGCATTGGGAATCATATTTTTCAAACAAAGTCAGGGTAACACTCATTTTACATACAGCAAGCAGTGAAAATGACATGAATATGACAGCGGGCAAAATTTAAAGCATAATTTCAAATCACGAGAAATTTGAAATCATTTGAAAATTGATTAAAAAATAATTATTTTATTTATTATTAATTATAATTTAGATGACAAAGTATTTTTCACAAATAAATAAATATTTAAGAAAATATAATTAAAAAGGAAGTAAACTGTAACCAACAGAGCTCTCAGTATTCTGGGAAGTTTGTGTGCATTGGGAATCATATTTTTCAAATAAAGTCAGGGTAACACTCATTTTACATACAGCACACAGTGAAAATGACATGAATATGACAGTGGGCAAATGCATAAAGCGCAGCATAATTTGAAATCACGAGTTTAAAGTTTAAAGCATTCAATTCACACGGACCAACCATCACACAGAGATCATGCTGGATAAAAATGCACACTTCACAAGATTTCACAGCTGGATTCGACTAAGTTTGCAAGGCTTGTGAAATTAAATGTTCATTAGTCATTCAAAGATTTGTTTAAATGATATAAATCCGTATTTGCTTAATGCTGACGGCAAACGAGAAAGTATTATAATGTTTGCCTTTCTATTACTAATAATATAAAAGCAATCGTTATA